CGAGGTCATGATTTTTAGCTTAATAAAGTTGATCTTTCATAAGGAAAGGAAAGAAAGAAGACCAGCAATAGTTTCGAAACGTGTGTCTACAAATAAGAAGATTGGAATTTTTTATTCTTCTCTAATTGAAATAAAATTTTATTTTGAAATATCTCTGGAATTACATCATCAGTTTAAAAATTAAAAAATAACATTTAAGTATGGTTTGTATGCTTCTTTCATGCCGTTGAAATTTCACAAATATCATGCAAACTTTCAATGCTTTTGAGGTAGTTTTTCGGTGAAATGAATGACAAAAATTATTCTCCAAATATTTTACAGCCGAAATTTTTGCCAATTTTCATTTTAAATTTTGTACAAATTTCGTTCTTCTTCTTTTGTTTAATTTTTTCAACATACACACACACAAAAATAAAGACAAGAAATTTTTCTTTGTTACAATTTTCCAAAATTCTCAACTTCTATTTTTGTTTTCTAATTTTTCATCAATTTTTAATAATTATTTATCCACAAAGCGTGCGAAACCTATTTCCAATTCAATCCTAAACATTGAAGTTTTGTGAAAGACAAAGATCATTCTTTTTACTGATATCGGCAATTGTGAGATTCATCGGCAGTTTCTATTTAGCATACATCTGATTTTTAGATTCATCAGTTCTTGTAATGAAATCAATATAAACATTTATTCGTAAGTTTCTCAAAAAATAATAGAAATAAATAAATTAACTTAACAAATATTACAAAAATAAAGGAATCGTCTAAATGTACAGAAATAAAATCATACAACATTTAAATTTATTAAGTTATGATAATCGTGCAGTTAAAGGTAACCTTAAAGTTACCCAACATTCCATCAAATATTGAGATTTCTTTAAAATGTAATTCCACGTTGAACTTGATCCATCAAATCAGCGGAAGCATGAAGTTTTGCAAGTTCATCAGCACTCAATTGCTGTTTAACAATACTGGTGACTCCGTTGCTGTTCAACACACACGGTAACGACAAGAACACTTCCTTGTCAATTCCATGAATTCCTTTAACCAATGTTGAAACAGCTTTAACTGTATTTGAGTTTGTGAAGATTGCTGAAGCAAGATCAGCACAGCTAAGACCTGAAATTGATATAAAACATGTTAAAAAATAATGAGAATTATAAAAGTTTGAAAATTTCTTACCAATAGCCCAAGAAGTGTAGCCTTTCAACTTAATGACTTCATAAGCAGCATTAACAACGTCTTTGTGGCATTGTGACCAATTTTCCGGGTCATTATCTTGACCGGCTTGTGGATTAATTTCACGCAAACGAATGCCTGCAATGTTGACACCTGACCAAACTGGAACACTTGAATCTCCATGTTCACCAATAATCCAACCGTGCATTGATGTTGGTCCAACATTTAGACGTTGAGCTAATAAAAAGCGGAAACGAGATGAATCTAAATTGGTTCCTGATCCAATGACTCGATTTTTTGGCAATCCTGATAACTTCCATGCGACATAAGTCAAAATATCGCAAGGATTGGAAACAATCAACAAAGTCGTGTCGGGACTGTATTCAACAAGTTTTGGTACCATTCCTTTTAAAACATCAGTATTGCGTTGAACCAAATCCAAACGACTTTCACCTTCCTTTTGTCGGACGCCAGCTGTAATGATGATCAAACGAGAACCAGCAGAAATTGACAAATCAGTGCTTGATGTAATCTTTGCATTTTTTAGGAAATTCGACCCATGTTGCAAATCCATCATTTCTCCTTTCAACTTATTCTCGAACATATCGATGAGAGCGATTTCACTTGAAACATTCTTAATTCATAGGTAAGAAAAAAATTAATGTTAAGATTTTATTTCCATGCTAATTATTTAATTATTTTATTACTTGAGCAAGAATGGAGAATGCAGCAGCCATTCCGACAGCTCCAATACCGACAACGGTAACTTTGTTGTTTCCTTTGCATGCTGATTCATCAGCAACACATTGGAACATTTGTGCTTTCAAATTTGCCATTGCTGGATCTAAAGTTTTATCAAAAAAAAAGTGTTGTAATTCGAGAAGTATGTTGCAAAAACGTGAGTTAGTTTCGAATGCTTGGTTGCTGTGTGAAGTGTTTGAATAAGAGACACTAAATGAATCTTTTGATTCAAACGATACATTTATATTAAAATTAAATGGTCACTGTGTTTATTGTCGACTTTAAAATCATTCATCACAGCATGCATAAGAGAAGTCGAAATTCCAGCACATTGCACACAAATTTCAAGAGTCTTGTTGAAATAATTAAACACAATTTAAAATTTTCAATTAATATTTCTAATTTAAAAACTTTTTCTTATTATTAGTATTCGATAGGAGTTTATTTTCTCGTTAAAAATGATAACATAATTTTTTCACAAACACTTAAAACCGGTTTTCATGGTTGACTTTGATGAAAAGCCGCAAGGTCAAATGGAAAATGCTGCTCAGCTATTTTTATCAAAAAACATCAAAGAAAAATACGTTTTCCCTCTTTGATATCTCTTTAGGAAATAAAAGAAAAAAAAACAAAATTAAAATTTTACATTTTTAAATTCTTGTGAAAACTAGAAGTTTTATGCTAATTAAATTAGCAAATATATTCAGCAATTCCATGAGTATGAATGAATGAAAGTGAGAACTATCACAAGATAAATTATTAGTCACGACAAATACGTATGCGGCAATTGATAATGATTAATTTATTTTTTCAATTGAAGTTTAATCAAATAAATCACGAGACTTTGAAATTTTTTCACAATGTTAGTTAGTCTTACTTTTTTCGTATTAATTTTATCTAACTACGATAAGTTATGTTAAATAAAAACTATGAAATCCTATGTATTATGTTCTTATGTGAAGAATTCAAAACGATGTTAACACTTAAACAGTCTGCAAGCGATTGTCCTATGTAGCACGCAACGCTTGCTAGCTGATTTTTAGATATAAAGTTAGTAATCCCTTGGATCTGAAGGTGACCTTTTTTTCCCATCCATATGATTTTCGACTACATGTTGAAGGTATCGTGTACATACGCAAGTAAGGGGAACCGCTGAACGTAAAAGTAATAACTGTGTATGATTCTTTCTCTTTCTTTTACAGATACGATTTTGGGGGAAAAACTTATAATATGTAAAGGAAAATGTGTGATTCGACATTTGTATGCGGTGCGGTTCTTAAAAAAATACCAACACCGTCTTAATTTCTATCTTGCGCATGTTCGCTGAGATTTGCCGGATTCCTTTAGAAACTACATTGATAAATTTAAAAGTATTTCATATAACAAGAGAAATATTTCTTTGATTGACAGTAAAACAGATGTGAGATGCATCACGTCAGCAATTCTATCGTAATTCTTATGCAATGCTTTCTTTAAACCCATAAAACCTTTAAAAATCATATCCTTTCGTTTATTAGATTTTTATGATGTTTGACCTATTTCGATGAATGTCAAATCATAACATAACAGCGAATAAAATTACGTCAGGAGGTTCCCTTCCGATCAAAATGACATCATTATTACTCACCCATTTTTAAATTCACTAATTTGATCGATTTTAGTCTCAAAAATCGTTAAATTTTGAAGTAAGACTGATAAGAAATAATTTATAAATGGAAATCGTGGAGAAGATGATTGCACTGACAACTTTTTCTTATAAGAATAATGTATTTTGCGATTCGCAATTCAAATAACGATTCGCAAAAATAAATAAAGTGAGCAATGAGTAAGTGACATGTCAACAAACCACGACGACTGTAGAATTTTTTTAAACTAGAGCTTTATCAATTGCGAGATAAATAGTTAGAATGTATATTTGGTCATTGGTGTTGTTTCTGCTTTTGGTCACTTCTAAGTTATCATCCGCCGATGAGCATAATCACATCGTAAGCGTTTTTTCATTTTGATTTATTTTATTTCATGAAAGTAAAATCTTTTTGTTGCTGTTTTTTTCTTTACTCCCTTTTACGCGTTATTAATAGTATGAAGACCAAGAAGAAGTGGTTCTGTGGATGAATACTGTTGGTCCTTATCACAATCGACAAGAGACTTATGCATACTTCTCTTTGCCGTTCTGTGTTGGCAGCAAACAAAGTATTTCTCATTACCATGAGACATTATCAGAAGCACTCGAAGGAATCGAGTTGGAGTTTAGTGGATATGCGATAGATTTTAAAGAAGACGTTACACCGAAAACAGAGACATGTATGGTGGAATTATCAGAAGAGAAGTATAAAGCATTTGTTTATGCTGTGAAGAATCATTATTGGTTCCAAATGTACATCGATGGGTTGCCGATCTGGGGAGCTGTTGGAAAGGAGCACGATAAGAAATTCTATATTAACACTCACAAGAAATTCGACATTGGATATAATGGAAAACGCATCATCGAAGTGAATCTAACAAACGAGAATGAACAGCTGTTGCATGTTGGAGCTCACCTTTCATTTACTTACGAAGTCAATTGGCGACCAACAACTGTTGAGTTCAAAGATCGCTTCGACAAGTATCTTGACCCAAATTTCTTTCAACATCGCATCCATTGGTTCAGCATCTTCAACAGCTTCATGATGGTCATCTTCCTGGTTGGTCTCGTGTCAATGATTCTCGTGAGAACTTTAAGAAAAGATTATGCGAGATACAGTAAAGATGAAGAGATGGACGACGAACATGATTTGGGTGATGAATATGGTTGGAAGAATATTCACGGTGACGTCTTTCGTTCATCTTCGAATCCTATTTTATTCACATCTGTGATTGGCTGTGGATATCAACTTACCAGTGTCGTGTTATGTGTGACAAGCTTTGCAATTATTGGAGATCTTTATACGGAACGTGGATCTCTTCTGTCAACTGCCATCTTCGTTTATGCCGCAACATCGCCTATCAATGGATATTTTGGTGGTTCTCTTTACTCTCGAATGGGAGGCAGAATTTGGATTCGTCAAATGCTTTTGTCAGCTTTTCTCATTCCAAGTTTCGTATGTGGCACTGCGTTCCTCATTAATTTCATTGCAATCTATTATCATGCATCACGAGCAATTCCTTTCGGTACAATGTTGGCTGTGACTTGTATTTGTCTCTTTGTCATCCTTCCATTGACTCTTGTGGGAACAATTGTAGGACGGAATTTGAATGGCCAACCTGATCATCCATGTCGAGTGAATGCCGTGCCTCGACCAATACCAGAGAAGAAATGGTTCATGGAGCCTCTCGTCATCACTTTACTTGGTGGAATTCTTCCATTTGGTTCTATCTTCATTGAGATGTAAGTAGAATGATGAGAATACAAAAAGTCAATTTAATAATTTTATTTATTTCGTCTTTTCAGGTATTTCATTTTCACATCATTTTGGGCTTACAAAATTTATTACGTGTATGGCTTCATGCTGCTGGTATTTTTGATTCTCATCGTTGTCACAATATGTGTGACAATTGTCTGCACATATTTCCTTCTCAATGCAGAAGATTATCGATGGCAATGGACTTCGTTCCTATCAGGTGCATCGACAGCGATTTACGTCTACATTTACGCCTTTTATTATTTCTTTTTCAAGACTAAGTGAGTCAATTTCTTTATTTTCTTGTCTTTAAATGATACTAATTTGATGTTATTACAGAATGTATGGATTGTTCCAGACAGTCTTTTATTTTGGATACATGGCATTATTCAGTGGTGCATTAGGCATCATTTGTGGAACTGTAGGATACGTTGGCACAACATACTTCGTGAGAAAAATCTATTCAAATGTGAAAATCGACTAATTGCCGGTCTCTTTCCTAATTCTTGTCATTTTAACCAGAGCTAGATGTCGGCGTTTGATTGTAACGAAATTTCCTGTAACATAGTTATAAGCAAAACTAAATGCAAACATCATCAAAGATTAAATAAATTTTTATTTTTATTACCAAAAAGAAAAGAAAAAGGTTTACAAATATTTTTGAAGTGATTCACCAACTGTTTTCTCTAACTCGCGGACGCCTTGTTGACAAGCTTCAACAACTTCATAATCTTCATCTTCAAGAAGTTCAGATAGAAACGGAATTGTTTCAGGAACGAGAGGCTCAAAATCTTCTCCGAGTTTCTTCGCCATTTCAATGCAAACTTTTACACCGAAAATTCTCTTATTGGGATTTTCAGCTCGTGTCTTCATCAGTACTTGATAGTTGAGTTGCTTCCATAAAATATCGTCAGATGCTGCAACTGCAAGCTGTGCAACGCACTTCTTTACTAATTCTTGCAATCCATCATTATTGAAAAGACTTCTATTATCAATTTGATCGACAATTGGTTGCATAATGACATCAAACCGTTGAGTGTTGATGAAATTCTGATGATCATGAAGGAAAATGTTATGCAACGTCTTTAAAATAAATTCCAAGAGATAAAGATTTTTCTCATCGTTGTCATTAAAACATGCGTCACTTGAATGACATTTGTCAAGTATCGGAGCAGCGCAATCAATCAAATCAGATGCAAATAAAAGAAACAATGATTTAAGTGATGCTGAGACATGAGTTGTGAATCGGAAGAAAGCTATCGCACGATTATAATTGTCAGGATGATCACGAAGCGCCCAATTGAAAATATTCTCAAACAATGGACGAAAAGATCCTTCAGAAAGTTTCATAACAAGTGCAACAAGAGCTTTAATGATGTCATCTTCAATGTCGTTAACCTTCTCAAATTCAATATCATTTTTTCCTTCAACCTCACAACGAATTTGCATTGCATTTAGAAAGAAGTCTGTCAATTCAGTTTGACTCTTACGTAACTCTTTACTTTCAATATTTTGAAACATTTCAAACATCAACTCCATCAATGGTTTAATTGAATCAAAGTGTTGTTTTTCAATGATTTTATGATAAACTTCATTGATGACAGGCACGAGAACACGTAAAGGCACAAGTTGAGCTATCGACGTCCAAGTTTTTGAAATTTTTCCAATTAACATATGAATTTTCCCATCAGTCAGCAATTTTAATCCTGGACTAAGACGAGTTAATTGCGTGATAATTTGAACGAGATATGGACTTAAAAACATTGGAACTGTTTCGATTATCTTCAACTGTGCTGAGACAACTGAGTAAAGAAGAAAAAATGCTGATGAATCGTCGTCCTCCAATGTCATTAATTTAAGAAGATTCGGCATGAATTTCCCGAGCTTTCCAATCGCTTTGACTTTTAACATTGCCATTAAATCAGCAATACAAATTACAAGATTCATCATTACTGGTGTTTTGATCTTCTCATTATTATCCAAAGCACCAGTCAGTTGATCGAGAATCTCAATAAACTCTTCTGGATGATCATCACACAACTTTCTTGCAAGAAGTTTAATTGAAATTAATGTTGATTGTTGCACAACTTCCAAAGCTGTATTCGATTCATTTCCAATTGTTTCGCAAATATTTTTCAGTGGTTTAATAAGTTTCAACATTTTTTCATCGTTACATTCGTTAAAGTAATCATCTTCAAGCTTTCGATTCAGAAGTTCAATGATTTTCTTTCGAACTAAAAGAAATTCATGAAGAAATAAATTTCCGACAACAACCAACAACATATCAGGTGCAAGAAGTTCAATCGACGCTTCAAGAATGTCAAAAGCATTTTGTAAGATCGCATGCCACGATTTCTCGAATGATTTCATCTTTTGGTGATTGATTGCTTTGGAAATCTCAGGAATGAGTGTCAACATGTTGAGGATGATCGCTTGAAATTCTCTTTTCATTTCAAGCTTCATTTCGTAGCTTAATCGTGACACTTTCAATGAAACTTCAGGTGATGATAGAAGATTCTTTAGGAATTGAAGAACGAGATATTTGAAGTGACGAAGTTGAAAGTCACTGTGCGTCTTAAGATTGAAAATGACATTAACATCTTCTACATTTATCGCTCTTGTGTGAGGTTTATTCTCGATGAACATTGGAAGTTCTTTAAGATGAACAATAAGCGATGTTGAAGCATCTAAGATCGTCCGGACATCAAATTCTTTCGTGATAGCTAAAGCAATTTGAATTCTTTGTGGAAGTTCATCATTTGGCATTCCTTTCTTATGATTAACAACTTGTGATTCAATTACAAGTCCAATGAACACCCACAAGAACTTCTCGACGTTTAATATTGTGAGAAGTTTGACATAAAGCATCAAACGACGATGATCTGGCACTTGAAGAAGAATCGAAGTGAAAATTTTTAGAATGGGAATAATTTCATCGTCTCCATATTTCTTATGAATCAAAGCTGGAACAACATTCTCGATGACTTTCGAAATGATCTGAAAGCTGTAGGAATCTTCATGTCGCACAAGTGTTGTGCCGACAAATGTGAAGATAGTCATCATGTCGTTAAGAACTTGATTTGGTGTCATCAAAGCTAAATGTGAAAGAAGCAACAATGAATGATGATGTGTTTGGGGATTTTCCGATTCTTTGATACATTTCACAACTAATTCCGTCCTAAGCATTTGATCTCGAACGCCAAGACGTTGATGGCTCTTTCCATCTGGTGAAGTCTTCTGACAAATCATCAACAATAACGAAAGAACAATTTGACGAACAAATTCAACATTCATTTCGATTGAAGCGCGAGAACAATTATCCAAAATATTAAAAAGAATCGGAATCAATTCATGTTCATTTGACAATCCTTTCGATTTATTTTGTAAGAGCTCCAATAATGTCACTCCAAATTTCCATTCATCTGATTTCAGAGGATCTCCTTCATCAATGCTCACGCCATCTAGCGGCTTATTTTTCTTATTTTTTGCATGAATTCGAAGTTCCAATTGTGGCATTTTCATTAAAATTGTTTTCGTAATCTTACAATCAATTTGAATAATGTTGAAAATTTTATGTGCTGCTTGTACAAGTTTAGGTTGATCTTTCATGGAGCATTTAATAGTTTTCTGAATAACTTCCATTCTTTGGTCGGCATGAAGTGCGGTAAGAAAATCTTCATCGAAATTCTTCAACACCAAAAACGAAGGCGTTAAATATTTTCCATCTTCGTTGAACATTAAACGATGACAATCGAGTGATTTTATTGCTAATGCCCATAAGTAAGACATTGTTGATGAATTGATTCTCAAGAGAACAAGTTTTAAAATAATCGATTGGAAATCATCAAAACGATGAAAATCATCAGCATCGGAACTTGTAATAATTTCCATTCCAATTTTTGACATAACATCGAGTACTTTCTTATCGTTCAAATGTTTTAAAATCATTAGCAAACTTGATCGAATGTAATTTAATGTTTCTTTATCCTCAATCGTTGTTATTATACTTTCAATGATTCGCTTAAAGTTTGCTGAACTTTTCTTACTCGCCAACAAAAAGAAAATCAAACTCATCTGTTCGTCATCAATTAAGATCTCACTTTTTCTTGTAATCAACTTCTCAATCACAAACTTCCATATTGATGAAACATTTTGATCATAAAGTGTTTCAAAAATTTCCATTCCAAACTCTCGAATAATTGTCTGTTCCGCTGTCAATGAGATGAGAATGTGTTGAAAGAATTCATTCGAATATTCGCCAACATGCTCTTGATTAGTCCGTAGAACATTATTAAGAAGTTTCATTGTTTTTATCTGCAACTCTAAACTCGTTCCGTCATTGTCTTGAAACACAACATGCGATGCACAGAATTGTGAGAAGAATTCCAACTTCATTAGATGATCAGACTTGCAAATTGTGTCGAGGAAAGTTTTAATCACACCATTGATGTCCATTCGTTGTTCACTTGCAACTTTCAAATTGAAGAAATTCGTCACAAGATATTGGAAGATTTTCAATTTCAATTTCATGTCATTATTTAAATTACTGAAGTCGATTGTTGTTGAATTATCAAATTTTGTATTCTTTATGACTTTCTTAAACACTTCGGCAACAATTTTCGTAGGAATTTCCTGTCGTCCTAACATAGAAATATCAGCAACTTCACCATTCGCCAATTGAAGCTTCCTTGACGACAGCACTTCAATAACAATTTCAATTAGTTTTAAACTAAATTTTGCAGCTCGCTTATCTTCAATGGCAGTTGCCAATAAAAGAAATGCAAATTGAATGCTAAAGCTTCCAATTTTTTCATTTCTCAAAAGAACTCTCTCAATTGTTTCGAGAATTGATTCACTCGATGGCAAAGTTCGAATGTCTGTTAACGACGAGATGTAATCTTTATGTTTTCTTGAGAACTCCTTAATGAAATCTGTCGTTTTGCCGTATTTGGAATCTTTAATGATTTGTATGAATTCAAACTTAAGTGAGAAAAGAAATGGAAGAACAGCAATATGCACAATGTTACTATCCGAGCATTTAAAGACGTTTTCAGATGTCAACATGCGTAATGCGAGAAAACAGACTTTGTGCCATTTCTCAGGGCATTTCCAATATCTCATTAGAACTTTTGATAATTTTGCGACAAGTTCATCAACGCCAATCAGCTCAATCAATTGTGAAGACTTAATATTCAAGATTTCAGCAAGAACTTTCGGATTATCATCATTTAAGCGTTCAGCAATTGTTAACTTTAATATGTCTTTGTTTTCATTGTTATCGAGACTAATTTTCTCAAAATTTCTCACCAAATAAGCGACAGCTTCAGTTCGTATTTCAGCATTGTGATGATAAAGATTTTCGAAAATATTTGTGTCGTTGTTTGCACATGAAACTCTTAAGAGAAATCCTAGAAATGAATGTAAACATTGAAGACATTTATTTATTAAAAGTTAAATCAAAAACACACCGAGAACATTCTTCAATCCATTTTGTTTCCTTCCTGGTGTTCGACTCATCACATCCTTCACGACTTTATCAAAAGCGTTTGGATAACTTCTTTCTAAATTATGAAGAAATGCTGAGTACCAAAACGTCACATCTTCAGGTTTCAGAGGAATGTTGTCTTCATCATCAGAATCTAACGTAATGATAAATTCGCTGTTTTCTACTTTTTCATCCAATTTCTTTGTTTGATTAGCTGATTCTCCAATTGCTGGCACATGAGTGTAGCTGTCGATGATGCATCTGAAAAGATATTTCTTTAAAGTTTCCTTCAAACACTTTCCCGAATTAATAAATCTCACCTAATAATAATTTGAGCTTCATCATCATCCAGAACAACTTCAGCCATTAAACTTTCAAAATATTTCGTATATTTCGCAAAGTCTTCAGTTTTCTCTCCAATATTTTGTAAAAGTTTAGAAATTAATGCTAGATATAAAGCAATGAATGGTTTTCCTTCATTTCTCATTTGCTCTAAAGCTGATGGAAACCATTTGAAATTAATAATGTTCTCTAAAGCATTGTCAGTGATTATCAATTCTTCTGTTTGTGTTTGAAACATTAATGACAGTAAAAGAGCGACACTATGATAAAGCGATGTTTGAACTGAATTTGTAATTTTGTTCATGAATTGATTTAATAATGAAACATCCAGTTTTGTTTTTGAAAAAAGTTGAGCTGTAATCATGTAACCAGTAGCAAGGAAATCGATGACAGACGATTTAAAGATTTTAGGCAAATGCATAGTGATGAAGAGAATATGATTTTCATTGATACTTGACACTTTTTCCATCGCTCCCACAACAGTGGAAAAATAGAAAGCGAACATTAAATGTAAAGTTCTAGCTTTATCTTTAAGTTCTTAAACTGCATCGTGAGTGAATTTCCCTATAAATCCTAAGAAACTTAGTCGAGATGCTCCATGATTCCACAATGCATGTTTCGATAATGGTGAACCTGATTTCTTAACTTCTGACAGAAATTCCCATTTATCTCCAGCAATGTTTAACTTCATTGTTTGAATGCATCGAACGAACATATTTGTTTGATGATATGGAAAATATCAACATAAGAAATTCATCTTTATTATATAAATTGATACTGAATCGACGAATGAGCCATTCAAGACATATCATGAAGCAAGGCGAAAAGTGAAACATGAATCGTTTGATATTTTTATCCAGTAACGCATTAACTTCCTTCGATTCAATTGCTCGTTGTATGTCTTTTGCAGTTAGCTCAAACAGAGTATCTTCAAAATCTGCAAAAGCTGGATTCAATTCGATTAATTCATGAAGTCCACTAATTCCAATCTCATAAATTGTCTCGCGTGATTTTGTTGCTGCTTCTTCTGAAGTGAATAAAATCGAATGACGCTTTCGTGCATCAACAAACTGTGATGTTTGTGGAGTTTGGAGACGACGTAGTTGTTCTGCTAATGATGTCGACATGATGATCCTAGAAAGAAATTTTTTTATGCAACATGTGCTCGACTAACACATTTTAAATTTTACTTTCATTTACCTTTAGTCTGTTGCAATATGTGTTCAATTTGATTTTCAATGACTAAATTTTAAGAATTACATATGAATTGTAAAAAATTATGTTTATAATCTTTTTTATTTAAGTAATATTTGAAATTATCCACTTTGTTTACAAATCACAAATGTTTTCAAGGGGAATCAACGGTTGTTCAAAAATATAAAGGGTAGAAAAATTTCATAAATTATGTGACCGTTAATTTTTATCATTCTAAACAACGAAACAATAAAAACTTAACGAAACTTTAAAATTTTTAGACGAAATTGTGCAATTGTTTTTAAGTAGGTACATATATGAAAATGAAATTAAAAAATTGATAATTATAATTCCTTTGAACATAAAACTGAGTCTTCCTCCAGATAAAAAATAAATATTTTCTTTTAAATTTGTAGCATACTAAAGAAGACATGTTTCAGCAGCAGTGAGTGGCCGAAATATTTTCCCTTGGGTAAAATGTAGAGTCATGAATGATGATAATAAATCACGTGGCCCATATTTGACAGCTCAAAGATTTTTTCCTCGCATTCTGTTTGTGCTTGATAAATCCCCAACAACCATAAAAGACGACTCTTCTCATTTTGCTTCATGATTCAAGCAAATCTAAATCCCCTCAAAGGTTGATAGCAAACCAGAAAAAAATAATAAAAAGCACATAGGAAAAGTATGTGCTTGTGAAACTTGACATCTGGTACGATTTGGGTTTCATCTTTTTTCATTATCCATCATCCGGTTTCAGGCCACAGATTACCGAAAGCATATCAGAACATTTTCCTTGTTCTCGTATCCATTTGAGTTGAATCTGGGATTCATTTTTGTTTGNTCATTTACTTACGAAGTCAATTGGCGACCAACAACTGTTGAGTTCAAAGATCGCTTCGACAAGTATCTTGACCCAAATTTCTTTCAACATCGCATCCATTGGTTCAGCATCTTCAACAGCTTCATGATGGTCATCTTCCTGGTTGGTCTCGTGTCAATGATTCTCGTGAGAACTTTAAGAAAAGATTATGCGAGATACAGTAAAGATGAAGAGATGGACGATGAACATGACTTAGGCGATGAATATGGTTGGAAGAATATTCACGGTGACGTCTTTCGTTCATCTTCGAATCCTATTTTATTCACATCTGTGATTGGCTGTGGATATCAACTTACCAGTGTCGTGTTATGTGTGACAAGCTTTGCAATTATTGGAGATCTTTATACGGAACGTGGATCTCTTCTGTCAACTGCCATCTTCGTTTATGCCGCAACATCGCCTATCAATGGATATTTTGGTGGTTCTCTTTACTCTCGAATGGGAGGCAGAATTTGGATTCGTCAAATGCTTTTGTCAGCTTTTCTCATTCCAAGTTTCGTATGTGGCACTGCGTTCCTCATTAATTTCATTGCAATCTATTATCATGCATCACGAGCAATTCCTTTCGGTACAATGTTGGCTGTGACTTGTATTTGTCTCTTTGTCATCCTTCCATTGACTCTTGTGGGAACAATTGTAGGACGGAATTTGAATGGCCAACCTGATCATCCATGTCGAGTGAATGCCGTGCCTCGACCAATACCAGAGAAGAAATGGTTCATGGAGCCTCTCGTCATCACTTTACTTGGTGGAATTCTTCCATTTGGTTCTATCTTCATTGAGATGTAAGTAGAATGATGAGAATACAAAAAGTCAATTTAATAATTTTATTTATTTCGTCTTTTCAGGTATTTCATTTTCACATCATTTTGGGCTTACAAAATTTATTACGTGTATGGCTTCATGCTGCTGGTATTTTTGATTCTCATCGTTGTCACAATATGTGTGACAATTGTCTGCACATATTTCCTTCTCAATGCAGAAGATTATCGATGGCAATGGACTTCGTTCCTATCAGGTGCATCGACAGCGATTTACGTCTACATTTACGCCTTTTATTATTTCTTTTTCAAGACTAAGTGAGTCAATTTCTTTATTTTCTTGTCTTTAAATGATACTAATTTGTTGTTATTACAGAATGTATGGATTGTTCCAGACAGTCTTTTATTTTGGATACATGGCATTATTCAGTGGTGCATTAGGCATCATTTGTGGAACTGTAGGATACGTTGGCACAACATACTTCGTGAGAAAAATCTATTCAAATGTGAAAATTGATTAGGATGTTAGCAATAAACTTATGTCGTGTATGAAATATTAAAAAATGAAATATTAAATATTAGAAATAAAATTGACTAAAGAAATATATTTTTTCTAACGCTTTTCTTATATTTGAAATTTTTGAAATTCATTTTTCTGTTGCGTTGCTGAAAATTTCATTTAGAAAAGCTCAGTGAAATCAATCAAGTAGGTCGCTAAGTTGATTTTAAAATCAATCACTTGAACGTAACTCTAGTTTTAATTTGAAAAGCAAAATAGTTTAAATCAAATTTGAAGGAAGTTTGTATTGATCAAAAATAAAAATGCCAGCTATTGAAAAATTGTAAGTAAAATTCAAAAAGTAAAATATTTTCACGAAATTAAAATAAAATCAACAAAGTTTGAATGACGATTTCCTAAGATTCTTATACTTATGAAATATTACACAATGAAAAAGAAGCTTTATCAAGCTTCCAATGTTGTTAAAAGCTTTGACTAATAAGAGCTGAACTTTGTTAAGACAAGTGATTTCTTTAATGACTTTTTTTTATTCATACTACTTCAATGAGCCTTATTTCCATTTGAGAATACTCCGATGACAAATGAGTAAAATTAATTAAAGATCTTCAGAAAATTGAAACCTGAATTCATTCTATTTTATTTTTCATACAAGTGTAAATTGTTACGTAGGTATTTGTTTATTTTTTCTCTATCCTTCACTTTCGAAACAGACGTTTGCAGACAGTTATTAACAAGTCATTAAAACAAGAGTCGAGATGATAATTTAGAGAATTTTTGTAACAATCAAGTTTTAATTTCTCTCATATTACTCGAAGTTTTCTGCTTATCAGTATCTCTTCAAAAACGCTTCTCGTTTATCTTTCATTGATTGTCTCAGATGTTCTCTCACTTCAAGTTAGTGATCGTTTTCTCGCTTATAGTTTCAGAAGTTCCATTTGGAGTTCTATTTTAGAATTAAATTACCTTATTATTTTAAGGACACAAATAATACCTAATCGGAACATTAGTTTTTTGTTGAAACTGTTGTAAAGTTGTTCAGTATCTACCAATTGAGTTTGTGCATTGTGTATTGTTATCATAAAATCAGAGATTTGATCATTAATGCTTTGACATCTGAAATTGGTATCGTCTGTTCATCAGCAAATAACCGAATAATATTTACAATTATACGAACACTTGGCTGAGTTAACCATAATATCTATCAGGAATCAGAATGGAATATAAATCATTTTTTAAGTAAGTCTAGGAGAAAATTATTTGGATGCTGAAATGAAAATAAAAGGTTGTAACTTTAGGTTGAAACATTTCATAATAAATTTCTCAGTATGTGTTATCTTATCATTTCATACCTACTTGTTTTTAATTAATCAAGATGATAATGGAAAGAAAATAAGAGATGGGAAAAATAGAAATAACTCCCCGAGTAGCACAAGTGGCAAAACCGCATTCAAATCAAGCATAGGGCTGAAAAAACATTGAAAATTGCCAAAAATTTGGCAAACTAATCGTCCACATGAACCGTCGGTGCTACTCGGGTTAAAGACATTTTGAATGTTGTCTTAAATCTTCAAGTTTCTGAATTGAAAATTAAATTCTTTCTTAAGATTATATAACAAGTTCGACAGAAAACAATCAAATCTTATAAAAGATTAAGTTGCTTAAACATAATCTATGTAATTCAATTCCAAATCCCTCAATGAAATAAAGAATGAAGTTTGTTTTTCTTGCTTTTTCAATTTTCCCGCATGAACAGACAAAAAGTAAACAAATCGCTTCTTCGTTTTTTTCTCTTCTTAACAAAAACTTTTGAGAATCAAAGTCGAAAGTCAATTAAATTCCGATAATTCCTTCTGACAGAGAGAAGGAAGTAAAGTAAAAGTTTTCTTCTTTTTCCATTGCTTTATAAACTCGCGTTTTTTATACTTCTTTATCAATTCTCAACATAAGATAAGAGAAAGAAAAAAAAATCAAAATTAAAAAAACAACGAAAACGAGGAAAATAAAAGTTGAATGAATCATTTGAAAGTTTTCTCGATATCGCAAAAATGTTTGTGACCTGAAATTTAGGGACAAAATGTATTTATAAAATGAAAGCAAAAAGTGTGGCTTTTTAACTCAGATATTCAATAGAAACTTATTTTAAGAGCATTAAACACCAAGAAAATAGGAAGAAAGCCTCCTTTTCATTTTGCCGAAAAGACCAAAATGAAAAATGCTTTTCATTTCTAAATTAAGATGTTTTCAAAAATCTCCACGGAGAGGTCTTCAAACTGAAAGAAAATTAAGAAGAAAAAATAATGCCAGGAAAATCTTAACGAAGTTGTTGTTACTTTTGTGGTTGAAAAATCTTATTCGTAATTTCTTTTACTTTTCTTTTCACTTTAATTTCTCGCTTCATTGCTTTGAGGGTGTGTGAGTGTTTGTGTGAAAATGTTTTTATTCGACAATTGCGTATTGTTTTTAAATGACCTCGCTGAGTAAAAGTGTTCATTTAAAACAATATCATACCACGTTCAATTTATTCGAAGTGAAAAACGTGATAATAACACTAATTAAGTTTGAATTTCAACTAAACTTCACTCCTTCATAAGGACAGCATAGTTCGTGAATCACGCATGACAGCATTCTCATTAAATTTATTATCAATGGTTTTGGAAGAACATCGATTCTATTTTATGTTTTTTGTCACAGTTAAAATAATTATGCGAAATGAATATGTCGATTATGTTCTATTAATTAAGAATATTGATAAATGACATTTAAAAATAATTAAACATAAATTTATGTTAGAGAAATTTACATTTCGATTTGAAAATTCAATATTTATTTAACATTTTCATGAACAGTTTTGCCATGTTTTTTTCTAGTTGAATGAAACGTGGTCAATCTCATCGATTTTATAACGCCAGATATGCTGAAAATGATGAAAATTCCTGTCGTGACACAAGTGCTATTTACTCGATTACAAGCATCTCATTTTTGTCGCGGTTTTATTTTACCAATTTGATTTGTCCTCGGGAATTTGTAAATTCAACTTTCATTATACGCGAGTGTTACTTGACATAAATATACAAAAAAGCAGCAAGCAAACTCCTTCAAGGCATTAAATAAATATTCTCTTTGTTAACAAATGAAAAAAAAAATTACCGTCATATTTTATCGTTTCAATTTGCATTTGTTTTCCTTCATCCTTTTACGAGTTCAAAGAATAGAATTCAGCAGAAAACATTTCAGTCGTCGCCTTAAAGGATTAATGCCAACTTTCGTCCAGTTGGAATGTAAATGTTCTCATGAGTGATGGGATTTTGAAAGTTTCAACTTGTTTCGATTTAATAGGGAAAAAAGAATGGAAAAGCAAACTCTCCACTGCTAAATTTAATCAAACTTTTCCACTTCAGTTGGGAATTTCAACACATGAAAGTTCAATACGGAAAACAGGAAAAAAACTTTTAACAAGGGAGAATTTGATTTTTGTCTTCTTTCTTTTATTTTAAATTGAATTGAATAAAGTTTTGTTTCTGTATGCACAGAACTTTCAGATTTTGAAAGTTTTCAACATCGAGTTCAATGAGTTTCTGCTAATTTTTCTAACATTTATTTTGAGAGATACTTGAATGAAAATTGATATTTTCCTGTAATTAAAGTTGTCACTTGATACTTTTCCTGGTTCCTTTCGAAGCTTATTTATTATTGAATTACTTGAGCTTTGGCCTTTTTGTCGATTCATCAGTAACCATGAGCAATTACCTAGAAGCCAATGACATCACAATGATATTTGTTGTCTGTTTCTTTACGAATGTTCTTGATTGAGAATGAGCAAGTTTTCACAAGTTCGATTTGATGTTTACTTAACGAGATGGGCATGTCTATGAATAAAATTATTGAATTTTAATCTATCGTGATTTTCAAAATCAAACCTACTGTCAACAATGAAATGACGAACGCAAACTTCAAAGCGTAATTTGTCAGTTGGCACTGCCATTATCTCATTTGATTTCACAACCATTCGGTTGCCTAGCTCAATGAATTGTATTAAATATTCATCGCTTTTGTTTGTTCCACTCAAAACAAAAGCACGATACCAATCTTCTTTGTATAATGCCAACACAACTTCGTTTTTGCTGTAAATTTTAGATTGAGATGGAAAATTGACAGTTAGGTGGTTAAAATTTTTATTTAAACAGTCCTTATTTAATTTGCAATGTCACAAATTTACTTACATCGGCTTGTAAGGAAATATTTCTTCTAGATCCTTGCAGCACTCTTCTACATCTTTATCTATAAAGTCGAAAAGTTCAAAGTTTTCACGAGTTTCTTCAGCTAATACCATAAAGTGTGGTGGATACACGTGAAGCATTGTAACTCGAACTTCACCTGTGTTAACCCATGGGCGCATTTTTAAATCTTTGTACATAAAAGGTTGGACTACTTTTGTTTTTACATCTTTCATTGCAGTTGCTTTAATGGATACGCTTGTTGGGGGTAATCTTAGAATTGCTGATTGATTTACTGATTTAGCTGATTGTTTTTCATTCTTGTGAAGTAGTTCTGGAGTGATCATTCTAATTTGTGGCTGCAATGGTTTAATTGTTCTAATTTTTTCCGGCAATTTTATTTCTTTATTAACCTTTTCTCTTACTTCTGTTGTCACTAACTCCTTTTTCTGTTCGAACTTTGAATCGTCTTTTAATTCAAAATTTGAGTCACAGCTTAAACTAGAGAACCAAAATTTTGTAATTTCTTTATCTTTGTCTGTTTTTTGCGAGTCTTTTATTGAATCTTCCTTTTCATAGCAGTCCGATATCGGGAGATAAGATAGTTTTGAAACTTTCAATTCTTCATCTTCTTTTTCAATGAAATTTTGATGTTTTTTAATTCGTTTTGAGCAGTCGATTGATAATGACGATAATTTGCTTTTATTCGTATCGAAAGCTGACATTAAGGGACTAGATAAAAATACGTAAAATGAAAAAAAAAATTTAACTACTGAAGCACTTCAATGTTGAACTTACGGTAATTGAGCACAATCAAGACGATGATTTTGCCAATCAGCTCTCTGACATTGTATTGAACAATATCTAGCAGAGCATCTTGAGCACATGTACGCAGCAGATGAAGAACAACGAATGCAAATCGTATTGGAAAGTTTTATTGATTTGTCAGTCATTGTTAATATTGTTTCATGTAATTTGATTCTCGACAATATTAGAAATTCTTTTTAATTTACTTCTTTATTAATATCACCTTAGTATATTTTTTAAACTTATGTAAATCAATATTAATAAAAAATCAGTAGTTTTAATCCCTTAATAATAAAAAGGGAAAATGGCGCAAACAGGAGGTACACAATTGGGGTAACAACGTTTCAAAGACCCTTCGACGCATTTTAAATTTTCAAATAACCGTTATTTATAAGTTGTTTTAGAAATTATCCAAGTTTTATGGAATGAAATTTTAAATGAAAAATTGAGCAATTAGAGAGAAATATCGAGATAATTAAATATATTTGCTAGTTTTAAGGTAAACATTCTTGTGGCAACCAAGAGGAAGCTGCTTATTGTTTGGACCTGCAATGCATAAATTCAGTAGATTTTTATTATTATCTTTATTTTCTTTTTCAATTTATTATTTCTTTCTCTTATTTCGGTGTTGGGATAAAAAATTGGCTATCGAACAATCAGTAATGCGCAACAACCAACATAAAAAACCCAATCTTTTCTAAAAGTAATTTAAAATATCATAACATTTACATAAAACAAAAATAATCAAATGTCAATTTTTAAAAAAAAAATTAAGTGAAAAAACAAAATGCACTGTCGAAGCCTTGATGGATCCAACGAGATCCTAGATAATGAGAATAAATTGCTCATACGAAAACAACTGCCAGAAATGAATGCTATGAGTAAATAATATAAACACACTTGTTCAACGTTATAATACCTAATTACGTGTTCTTTTTTTCTACATTTTGCTTTGGAACCCATGTTTGAAATATTTTTTATCCTTCACCCTCGTTATCATTAATAAAATTTTCCGGATTATTAAATGACAAAATTACTGCAGTCATTGTAATTAAGGAATAAAACAAATATAAATTCATTAAAATCAACACCAGACATTGGTCAAAAATGGCTGTGGCTCTCGAGAACAATTTTTATACTCAATTTGGATTGTTTGTACCATTTAAATACTTTATTAAATTAAAATCAACACGATGTATCCAATAAAATCTTAAACGCAATAAGTTTATATGTAGATCTGTTAACATTTGACATTTACGTTACCTACTTGAAAATAAGCGAATGAAAAGCTTTATTTACTACCTACTTATACTTTTAAAACCTCTGAGGCTTTTAATTTAATGGAAACATTGAATTCAGATCATTTCTAAATTAAATGAAATTGTTTCAATTATATTAAAAGATACTATTAAGTTATTAGATATAAATAGACTTTATTCCACAATATGATTATTCAAATTTGATCCAAAGATTTTTTTCCTTAATATCAACAAGATAAAAATCCCAGAATCAAATTTAAATGCTTAACATTTGCCATTTCTTGAATTACAAATAAGTAGCAATTAGAAATTACTCACACAATGTGGTTTCATTTTAATTAAATAATCAATTGAATTCAAACAAACGAAAATAATTTCTAAAATTAATTCAATAAATTTCTTTCTTAAAATTTCAATTTATAATGATGGCATTAATTTTGCCGGAAAATCTCACAATCAAATTTCATTTCTCTCATTAATCTTAGCAACAAATTAGTTTGCTAAAAGGAAAATATAAAAAATAGAAAATGTTGGGACATTTTTGCGGATTTAAATTCCGCAAGATCTATTAACTGTTGAATATTTTGTTTTATTTATAGTGAAACAGAGCCAAATTATGGATCATTGTCAAGTGAAGGAAAGCCGAAAGTACAGCGTACACATTCGATTATTTACTGCGTTCATGGAAAAGCTGCAGCAGATTGTTGTGATCCTGAAACATTAGACATCAAAACTTTTAAAGAGCCAACAGACTGTAAGTCATTTAATTTATACTTGAGAAAATAACTTAAAAAAATATAAATAGTTTGTTTTGTCATGATTTAAAATTTAAATCCTTAAAAGTTAATAGAAAATAAGAAATGTCATTTATAAATAGCTCAGTTGAAAGTCCACAAATGCCAAGTTTCCCCTGAAAATTTTTCCAATTAAGTTGGTCTACAACAAAATGCCATTCACGCTTTTCTCTCTTTCTTCTTCACGGAAGTAAATGCCAAACGTTGCTTGAAGAAACATTTTCGAGTTTTCCCATTTATTATGTTTTATTATTTAATTTTCAATGCTTTTTTTCTCTTGAAGATTTACTTGCTTTAGTTGTGGAAAATGAAAATCTTCTGTTCATTGCTTCTTCGCTGTGCCCGTTGTAAAGAATTAAGTCACTTCTTCTTTTTAAGATTCATTTGCCACAATTGATGATTTTTATGCCTTCAAGCTTTTCTTTCTGTTTTGTTTCGTTGTCTGCTAGAGAAAATTAAATTATTGTTTTCATATTTATATTTCTACTCTAAATATGACGCTTCACAAACCTGCTTTCAAAGAAGGAAACATAGATAAGTTAAAAGTTTGAATGAATGATGTGTTTACACATCTAGATACATGAATTTATTTGAAACCATATTAACATTGCTTAAAGGTTGAAAGCATTGCTTACAATCGACTAACCGCAAAGTAATTTCCTGCAATTGATATCGAAATTAGAGTGAAAAGTTTTGATTTTCCATTACTTATAAACTTAGCTGAAAATGGGAAGATCAAAGTAAAACTTGAATTCTTTGTTGTAAATTCATTCATTCGAATATTCGAAGCTTGATTATCTATTTGAATTTCATACATTCATGTCATTAACTTTGTTTACATAAGTTGTTTATTTGTTCTCTTCTGATTTATCGGAAAATCACTATTGACGTACACAACGCTTAGGGTGAGTGAACAGAGTGAAAATTCTCTTAAATCATTCAATTCATTCAATAATAACCGTATTCGTAAGAAATATTTTATCAAAAAGTTTCACGTGAAAAGTTAACGGGAAGAAGACCCATTTGGCGATTGATGATTGTGTAAAGCAACAAAAACATCAGTAAAAAATTTATTTTATTTTTTCATTGAAACTTGAAGAGGAAAAAAGGGAAGAAAAACGTAAACTTTTTTCACTCACTCTGATTCGCATGAAAAATTATCGCAATTTATACTTTAACCGGCGTAATAATTTCCACAAGGTTCCCTTTTACTTTTTTCGCTCTTGCTTTTCGATGTTTTGTGTTGTTTCTGCGTCTTAGACCGTAAAAGGGAAGTGGAAGTAAAAAAAAGGGAGAAAAACTCGAAAGTCGAAACAGGAAAAGAAAGTTAATATGTTTATGGAACGATAAGTCTTCCTTGAAATATCATATGAGCGTTCGTTACATAGCAATGTAAAAAAAGGTTGTGAAAAATCGCTCAAATTAAGCGTTAAGAGAAAGATTATTGTGTAAGACAATATCTTAACTCGAAACATACAAATATTTTATGAGTCTAATCTGATCGCAAATATTTCCAACGTGGTCTTGAATACTGATTCGAGAAAAATTGTAAGTGATTAGAGATCCCTTAAGTACTTTGAGATATTTTCGATAATAATTTATTAGCAGACAAGACACTTTAGTTACGCCTAAGCAACAATTGTTTATAATGAATTGGAAAATATGATTTCAGCTCATTGCCATCGTTTGCAGCCGAAACTTTTAAATGGAATCGATAAAGTTGCTAGGTAAGTTGTTTCTTAATTATATTTCCTTAATTATAATTATAAACATATCCATAATTTTATTTGCTTTACAAACTTTCAGGCGAAAGCTCATCATTGCCAGTGTTTTATGTTTTGTGTTCATGATCGTTGAAATAATCGGTGAGTCTTCTTCCTAAATAAACTTTCCGGATGAGAATTTATTGTGAAAATAAGAAAATGTTGATCTTACCAAGGATGTGGAAATATGTGAATACCTACTTCATATTTCCTGATTTGCTTTCAAACTTCTCCGAAATATTTTTGAACATTTTAAACCTTCGAGAACTTAGTGCTTTCAACTTAAATACTACGTTTAAAAATGTGCAGGTTATTCCATTCTACATCCTTCTCGGAAAATTTAATATCAAAAATTATGTTTTCTTGTTGTGAGCTTCCAGCACGTTCTGAAATCTTTACATTCTATAAATATTTTCGTTTGGGTTAGTTATTGGGTAAAGTGGATAAGTTCACGACATTTGCCCCAGAAATCACGTTAAATTTATCCATTTTCATAAGGATAAGCCAGAAAAAGCTTTTAAGTTTTTCGTCATTGACAGTACGTTATGGATAACACCCATGAATTTCCATATTCGACTTATGTTGAGTGAAAATAGAATTAAAATATTTAGAATAGATTCTAAGCTTAAGATTACTTTTTATTTATCAGACTTGTATTTTTTTGAAGTGGGAAAAGGAAATTTAAAAATGATGTCGATGTTCTCTGCAAACTTAATGCATCGAATGTTGACTTGAAATACTTATTCTCAAACAGTGTGTTGGGACTCACATTGGAATTATTATCTGTTCAAATATAATTTTTAAAAACCATTAAAACATTTGAAATACGGAAAAAATTTGTGACATTAATCGAAAAAGTTTTAGAAGCACTAAGTTCAAAGTATTATCATTGCTTGATTATCGAGATTTGGTAGGGAGATAAATTCAATTTTCTACATCGCTGCATTTGGTTCCTTTTATTCCCAAACTGAATATTTTATTTCGTAAACATTCCTTTGATTGTTATTTATATTTTTCTTTCCACAATTCGCTGAACAAAATATGTATTCCTGTTTGACGTTAAAAAATAAAATTGGGTTAATGCAATGGCTTGACTATGCTTGCACACAATGAAAACAAACTTCATATGCTTTTTCTTTGTATTTGTATGTATGATTCTGATATGCACAGGCGGAATATTATCCAACAGTTTGGCAATTGGTAAGTGAACAAGCAATTGTGATTTCCGCAACTCATGAATATTTTAGTAAGCGCTTTCAGCTTATTTGCAAATTAACAAATTTATTTAGTTGCGAAATATCCTACAAATTTCACCAAATGTTTTTCCCTCTCTCTTTCATACACTCTTCACCTATTTTCTCTTTTCATGACTGAAATTAGCAACCGATGCTGCACACTTATTAGCTGATTTGGCCAGCTTTATGATATCGCTTATGGCACTTTACATCGCAGGTCGACGTTCAACGGAGAGGTAATTTTTGTTTAATTTACACCATTACACTTCTGGTAGTCGCTTTTTACAGTGTGTAACCTCACGTTAGATTGGCTGAATATATATTTATGTTAGGCATGACGCTCTCCCTTTTGTTTATTACATAAATAGTGTCTGCTTTACATTCAACATACGATAAGCGGCACCGTATAATGTTTTTATGTTAAGCTCATTCTCCTTGTTTAAAAACCACAAACGATTTTTCTTTGAAATACTTTTGTGTATATCAAACGCCCTTGCGAATTCCTATGTATTTGTAAACTGCAAATGATATTTTGTGGAACTTGTGCAAGAGTCAGTTTTATTATTGCTCGAAAAAACTACCTGACGGTTTCTCTCATTTCTTTTAGTTTTTTATTTTTGCTTATTTCCTCATTATGCAAATTAATGTTGCCATTTTTCATGATGGTGGAACTCTGCATTGAAAAGCTTTCGGTTACAGAATTAGCAAATCTAAGTTTAAGCTGAGGGATATAATAACTTTATATTGTTCGCTTTATTTCTTGTTGTGAAGTTATGCAACTATTTAAATGAAGCTTGTTTTCGCAAAATTGCTTGTCGAGTTACACAAACTTGTTTTATTCTTTTCTCAAACAATAAGCAGCATCAAAGTTCATTGTTAAGTAACAAGTTGCTTTGAAATTTATTTGGCTTAATGTTGATTATGCAGAGATTTAATACTACGATATAACAGAATGTTTGATTTTCTTTTAGGATTTGAAATTAAAATCAAAATTTGGAACTTTTGTGAATTGAAAGTTAAACTTGAATTATGTGTTTTGAAACTGCAGCTTATAAAGTTTAAATAGTTTCAGTCCCTGGATTAAATATAACAAAGCTTGAAGCGAAACATATTTTAATAACAAAAAGCTTTTATGTCAAGCTTACGTCCACCCCACCTAGTAGATTGAGTTGAAACATTGAAGCTCTTAATTTCTATTTAGTGCGAATTTCTCCTAATACTTGTAAATTAAGTTGTGAATTATGCGATCATTAAACATATTTTCCAAGTATTTTACTTCATACATTATTAAAGCATTGCTGTTTTCTTTCCGCTTCTGGAAACTTTTACCATGAACAAAGATTATCATAATGTAAGCGACAAAGAAAGGTTAGCATCGCATTAGTATTCGGATGAACTATAAATAGCTTATTCATATGTTACTACATGAGGAGTGAAGAGGCAATGTAAAGGGTAAAGCACAAATTTTAAACTGTTGGCGTAATCGTAAAGCACGGACATAATTTTAATTTCAAAAGTTCTAACGATTGTATTTTCCGTACAATAGTTTTAAGAATTTACACCATTGAATTGCACTAATTATTAAAACTTTTACAATTGCTACCTGAATAGCATCATCGTTTTCTTTCTTAGTTCCGTTCTTACCAAAATTCGCTGTCGACTAATTGCTTAATGTGTTGATAAAGTACACTTAAAAGCGACACTAAAACACTTCGACTTCGGTATCTGTTTTAAGTATTTCTCTTAAATCGTGGCATAATTTGTTAAACATTAATCCTTGTAAATATACAAGTTATGTTTCTCTTGGATTCCAAATGACAAAAAGAAAATAAAAGCAAAAGTTTGCTGAAAACTTTAGACGCTATTTTGTTGTTTTCTTTAACAAAAACTTAAATTGTTTTGAAGAGCAAAAGTTTAATGCTGTTATATTATTTTCAGCAGAGTAAAAGTTATATTTGTTTCATTTTCCTTGTTACAATCTTGAATTGTTATACAATATTTTTTCATTGCTTCAAAAATATTTATTTCAATATCTTTTAGATACTAAGAAGTTTAGAATATTTATTTATCTAATTGGTAACATCCTTCGGCGAGAGTGCTTATTTTTGTCTTTCTCCATTTCAAAATCTTCCATTTTGGCAGAAAACTCAACAACACGGATAAATCTTCCCCAAACTTCTATCATTTAATTTTCTTCCTTTATTTATTCGATAATGTATACTTTGGAGAAAAAGTCGCATTAAAATAAATTTCTTCGATATAAAAATCAAAATTCAATTGGAAACAATTCAAACGTTTTTGAAAAGCTAACAAAGTTCTTCTTAAGATTTCTTGAAGAGTTCATACGATGAATTTTTATTCTTTTCTGTTCCCCTTTTTGGAAACATCGTTTGCAAATTGTTACGATTGCATCAATTGCCATCCGGATTGTTGTCAAGTCAATTTCAAATCAATAAAACTTTAATAGAAGGATTTACGTCTTCGTACATGTACATAACAACGAACGTTTCTTTAAATTATCTTCAATTACATTAAAAATTTGAAATCAAATGCTGGTTGATATTAAAATTTTGGATTTAAAAAGAAAATTTCATTTTATTCCATGAGCTCCCATTGTTGTTCCGCCGCAGTTTATTTCAATGTTTTATTCATGTATTTTATTTATGTCTTTCTTATATCTTATTTATTTTCCACAAAAGAAGAAAAAAGAAGGAAGGGAATGACAGAATAATACAAAATAATGTTTTTCCAGTTGAAATTGTTTTCTTCAAAGCATGGTAAAGTAGAGAGAGAAAAAGAAAAAAAAGAGAGTGAGATAGAGAAGCAAATACGAGTGATATTTAAGTTGACGTAGTACTTGTGAATGTTGCCAGGGATATAAATTGTGTGAAACGAGTATTTCGCAATCTCTTGCTGATTTTAAAATGTTTTGTATTTAACTTTTGGCTGCTTTATTCCAACATTTTCGTTTGTCGCAACGCAAATCCTTTCGAATATTTATTCATCTCATCTCGTCTTCAATTCGAATAAGTATTGGCGAATAAAGTGGTGGGGGTGGAATTGGATACAGAAAAAATAAAGTTTGATTGTGTTGTCGATGAAATTTAAATGTTAAAATTGAATGACTTTTATGCTTCAATTCGTTCGACTTCCGATTCAAAAAATACTTTCATTTTTTTCTTTTTCACTTTATCAGGTGAATGAATATTTTTTTGCATAATTTCTTCCGGTAGAATTCTTCTTCTGCATATAATTCAAAAGCTATTCTGCCTTTTATTCCTTACTCTTTAAAAAGAAATCTTTGCTTGAACGTTCGTTGGTAAGAAAATTTCTCACTTGACACCATCAGGTGACAGCTTAAGAATCTTTCTACAAATTCGCTTCTTTTTCATCTTATTTCTGTTCTTTTTCCAACAGAGCAACATGAATTTCAATAAAATATGTAGCACTCAATTTAGTTGTCTGTCGAGTGAAAATGATAAGAAAACGAGCAGTAAGATTCACTAGGAAAAAAATTCAATTTGCGAAATGGAAAAAAAAGTAATTTGAAAGTGCAATATTGAAATGAGATGAAATGAGAACAAAAAGTATTAACGAGTTCACGACAAACTTTGCACAAAAGGATAACAATTAAAAAATTTCACTCGCTACTTTAATCCAAGGAAATTATATCGGATATTCGAATATATACACGAAAATTTTCATTTAAATGCCATTTTATAAATAAAAATATAAAAAAATGTTTGCAGTTTGAAGATGAGAGAGAAATGTCCATTTAGTCATTAACTGCTGTGTTGCTGTGTCTAAAAATGTTGAAAATGACGATTTCCTCGGTAATTATGAGGATAATTTATCTATTTGTCCTTTTTCCCTAAAAAAAAGAAAGATTAAACTTCGTGTAGTAAGTTTGTTTCTTCTTATTATTATTTTCTTCCAACTCTCTGAAGATTATCTCGAAGAAAAAATTAATACTTTTAATTTAATAACACGAAAAGGAGAGAAAAAGAGAAAGAAGATAAAAATTAAATAATTCATTCTCAACTTGAGTTTGCTTCTTTTTTTTTCATTTTCATGTTGGCAACTGGCAACTCGCAGCAGCAAAACATCTCGGGAAAAAGAAACTTTTAAGCCTGTTCTTCTTTTTTTCATATTTTTAAATGCTCGAGTAGAGAATTTATGAGCTTAAAAATTGTAGCGATAAGTATAATGAACGGCTGGAGGAAGTCAAGTTGCCATTTAAAGTCTTGAGATTTGTGGCATTCATTTATTACCACTGTGCGCTTTGCTTCGAAGAAATGTTCACCTTTGCTGTCGGCTTCACTCTTCGTTTCAATTTTCCTCACCTAGGTAGTAATGTAGATAATAAACCGGAAAAGAACAAACAGAAGAAGGAGAAAACAAAGAGTTTGAGAGATACCTCCGGAAAAATTCTTTCTTTTAATTTATTTTCATTCGTTTTCTTTTCATCTTGAATTGAAATATTAAAGAAACTGATTATTGTCTCTGTAGGATTTCCAAATTAAGTCACCAGTTTCTTGAGACAAACTACAATTATTTCTAAAGAGTTCGTAAACATACACGTATTCTTAGTAGGTAAATTTTAATTGAATTTGTTAAATTTTGTTGGTTCAGTTGCAGTATAAAAGTGCATTTCAAAACGTAAAAACAGAGTTCAACATTCATTTGAACTCATCTCTTTTCTTCTTCTGCTCCATATAGAATATTCCATTATGGAATATTATGAGATTATTTATCAGCTTTTACAACATCCAATAAAAATAAAATCATTTAATTGTTTTGACGAAATAATTTAGCTCTCAGCATTAAAAAAGCATTTTCAAAATCGGCTCATTAAAAGTTTTAATGATTGTGCTTTCGACAATCAAGCACATTATATATTAAGAAGCCTCAAATCAAGAGAAAAAAAAATTATGTCTGCAAAAATAAATTTATTTTCAATGAGAAAAAGTTTTTTTACGCAACAATTGAATTCAAGAAAAAAAAAGAATCTCGACTTGATTTCGATTTCATTTAAAAAGCACATTTGGAAAATTTGTTCTTTAACAAACTGTGACAAACAAAAAATCAAATCTCATGAAATGAGACGATTTAAGCTACTTATTTTCGACTTCTTAAACATTGACTGCAATCGTTTAGGTGTTTAATGATGTGTTGGATAAATATTTGCAGTAAATGTAAAAGAGTGAAAGTATTGAAGGTAATTTAGCGAAGCGTAAACAACATCCATGTTCAATGAAGCATTGTTTTTGACAGCTTTATCCCTTTCAATCTACCTTATCCGATAACAACATCAGTTGAAAGACCATGAGCGAGAATTAACACCTTTTTCCATCATCTGCATACATTTGTTCCGGGAAATTCGTTTGTGATTTTTCCCCCTCGAAACATGAAACTTTCTTTTTCTTTCTTAAGTATTTAATTAAAAATTAATTAACGGTGCCGATAATTTTCAATTTATATTAATCATATTCAAATTAGGTTGAGAATGCAAGGGGATACAAAGCGGATAAGCGACTTTCGTTGAAATGTGGAGATAATAATTAATTCAAAGCATTCATTGGATTGTTTTCTATGAGCAATAATATGCTTTCGCTTCCTATCATTGCTTTTATTTTTTTGGAAGTTTCATAAGCTACAATATGATAGAAAGGAAGCTCGTTAGTACATTTAATCCAAAATAATCTCCACAAAGTGTCAGTGACCGAATGAAGGCCATTTATTGCGATATGTAAGCCGATATATGAGTACATGTTTGAGTTTATTTAGTATGAGAATATTTGATGCTTAAAGGGATTATTGACAATGTTACAAAGCTTTAACGTAATTGTGTTATTCGTTCAGTTGCTGTTATATATCTAAATAAATATTTTGTTTCACTTCTGCCAAAAGAAGGTTTAAAGTAACATTTACTTGAATGTTTTATGATTAAAACTCATCATAAGGAGATCTTATAAAAGCTTATGAACAAACGACATCATTTCATATTCAAGAAACGTGGGAATTTTCCAACAGCCCTAAAACACTTAGCAAGACGCAGAAACTTTTATAAAAATTGATAATTACCTCTTAACAGTATTCGTTAGTTATAATGAGAAAAGTTCGCTTTTACAACATCAAAATGTAGTTTGATAAAATGTAGATCTAAAATTTTTAAAAGATATTTTAAGTGAGTGATAAAATCTTCATTTTTTCGCAACATTACCCAAAGCATGTGTCGCTTCGTGTCATCATTTTCAAAGAGAAATTCTATCATCTAAACATAATATGAAAACAAAAGTTTAATCTTCAAAGTCTGAAGCTTACATTCATTGAAATAAAAAGAAGTGTTATTTCTCTTAACCTCTCATTATCGGACGATACATTCGACACATTTTACTCGTCGTTTACTTTCTACTCTCTATCCTCTTGAGACAGATGCTCTCCAACCATTTGTTCAAGCATCTTTCCCTTTTGAGCTTCTCAACATTATCTGTTTTTTGTGTGTTTCAGCTTTTCTTCTTTTTCGTTTTTATTCTTGTAAATAGACACTTGAAAGCGCTTGTAAAACATTATTTTATGACACAACAAAAATATGTTTGCAGTAAACACAAAAGCAAATTATGAATTGTTACTGATGAGAAGGCGGCTTTTTTTTATTTTTTGTATTTTCACTTAGATATGGTGGTTTCGTTTCGAATAAATAATATGAGAAAAGCAGATCTCGATGACCGCTAATAAAGATTTATTTCCATCGTTTCAATCTCGTTTGGTGCTTGTTTCGTTCGTGAACGCCATTCAGCATTATGTATTGGGTACAGTACGTTCGGTTTGTGTTTTCTTATAGATTTATCATCATTACTACATTGTTATAGCGCAATAAGACAAATATCTACGTAGCTTGGACGATTTTCTTAAGTTTCTTAAGGATGCTTGAGTCAGAATGGTTCACGAATTGAAAGCTTTGCGCGTGATAAAAAATTTCCTCAAGTAGAAACTGCAAGAGAGGAAAAAAAGGAATCTTGCTTGTTTGTCTCCCATTAGTAATGCTAAGAACGAAGTAAAACGAAGAAGAAAAAAAGATTGTTGGTTGTTAGCCGTCTTGTTAACAAAGTACTTACCAGCTCTCATCCCTTCCGCTTCTTTCTGTATTTTTGTGTTTTTCTCAAATGATTTCGTTTCAGCTTCTTGTAATTTCAAACAGTAATTGCAGTGCTTCTCGAACATTTTATCTGATGTTGATATTTAGTCTATTAAAAGTGTTTTTCAATTGAATTCTTCATTAAAAATTTAAAATTAATTTGTTGATCTTGCGACAACTCTGATAAGTTTGAGAAGCAATGACCTAATGAATAACGTAAGTTAAATAGAAAACATAGGCGATTAATTTATTTTCTTTTCTTATTATTATTAACAACAGAATGTCATTTGGCTTCCATCGAGCTGAAGTTATTGGCGCTTTAACATCAGTTCTCTTAATCTGGGTCATTACTGGTATTCTCGTATATTGGGCTATCGTTCGTGTTATTAACAGAGAGTATGACGTTCAAGCAGAAATAATGTTGATAACGAGTGCTTTTGGAATCCTCGTCAACGTCATGTAAGTATCAATCAAGTGTTGGAAGTTAACAGAAAAAGAATTATCTAAGACAGTTTAGATATTCATTTATCTGTTTTTACTAAAGCATGGGTTGTTCTCTTCACGGACATGGTCATGGACATGAACATGGCTCGCATACACACAGTCATGGTGATCCGAAAGAAAATCATTCAGATGAAGATCTCGACACAGTATCTCATACTTCACGAACTCATGATCCAGCTCATCATATTCATCAGAATATCAACGTTCGAGCAGCAATGATTCATGTTATAAGTGATTTTGTTCAGTCCTGTGGAGTATTCATCGCAGCAATTTTTATCTTCTTCAAACCTGAGTGGGGAGTCATCGATCCAATTTGCACGTTCATGTTTTCAATTCTTGTTCTCTTCACGACAGTTCGAATCATGAAAGATACTCTCATGGTAAGTAGATCCAAGTGATATATTTTCTTTGAAAATAAATGTGAATTTATGAAACATTCATTTCCTAGGAAGATTTTTAATATTATTGAATAGAAAGAATTTCAATCCTTGTTCTATGTAAAGAGTGAATAGTGTCTTCATGAAGCCTTTTTTTATACCTTAATCCCCTGTGGGATCAGACATCGTCTTTGCGCGAGAAAAAGGAAATAAATAATCCAAGATCAAACATCGAATTTACTCCTTCGCTTTAAAATTGTTAATAGCTTGAAGGTGCTGCAGTTGTTTGTTCATGTCAGTGCAGTGCTGCCTAGGTCTTTCTGAATTCATTTTATCAAATTGAAAATTATGTTTTCCTACTTAAGATGTCTTCACACTAAAAAATATATTTTTCCTTCATGTTCTCGTTGTGTAAACGTATTGATTTTATTCCTGCCTTCATTTCTTTACTTAATGCAAAAAACGAAAAGGAAAATAAGGAAGCAGCGGCAGAAAGGAGAGAAAAAAATTGATCATTATTAAAATCGGGAAAATATTAAATTTCCGATTGAGCACCATTGAAGGGAAAAAACCTCAACGAAATATTTAATGGCTCACGGAGGAAAAAGAAAAACGATGTTCTTTGTATAATGGATTCTCTATCTTTGCGGAAATTTTTAGGTTTTTCAATCGCCTTTCTTCATACTTGCCATAAAAATGCTGAAAAAAAGGAATGAATGAATGAAAAGGAAAGCCCAGTGCCTGTTGGGGCGAAAGATTTTGATGGAAAACGGAATTTTCCAATAATTTAATTCAATGTATTCTTAATAATTTCGCTTCCTTGTTTCAACGTTTCACTCGAGGTCCACCGTAAACGTAGAAGAAAAAGAAGCTAGAAGAAGATTCGATTTCTTGGATATTTAATGGTTTGAAAAAAAAGATTTTCTCGACTCAACATTCTCGACCTAAAAGCTGCGGTAGTGCACAGGAAATTTTCAATTTAGAGAACTCAAGCGAAATTATCATTTTCTTTTCTGCTCCACCATCGTTATTTTTCAATTCTTTCATTTACCTTATTTTCCTCTAAAAATTTTCTAAGTCAGATTGACTTCAATGTTCGTTGTACCGCTGTTCGTTGATTCAAGCACCACTAGGTAGTGAAAGGGAGCTTATAGCAAAGATAGACATGGAAAATTAAGTTTAATACCTCTAACAGTGGAATTGCGAGTGGGATTTATTTTTCAGACCAATTTCCTCTTCATTTACTCCCCCGCACGACATCAAAAAACAACAACAGAAAAAAACAGCCTGGATGGTTCAGGTAAAAAACATTCAGTAAGGGAATATTTCGCGTGAATTACGAAGGCAGACATTTCGAGGGTGTTTCGTGTGCGAAATTTGTTCAAAATTGAATTTCACTGCCGCACAGTCGTTGGTAAAAGAAATTTAATCTCCTTTCATTCTCATATTCGAACGTTCCAAAAACATCAACGCGAGTTTGCTTTTCTTAATAATTTTCCAATCAATTTAATACAACGATTTTTTTTTCTTTCATTCATCGAAGATTCTTTTAGTAGAGTCCTAAACAAAATCACATTTTACCTTTTTTCTTCTTCGATATTTTCGTACAGGTTTTAATGGAAGCTAAACCCGAGTACTTGGATTACACCGAAATCATGAAAACATTTTTGAGCATTAAGGGCGTCTTACGCGTTCACAACCTTCGCATTTGGGTGAGTTTCGTTTTCTTATATATATCGATGGTGTCTTGGCATGGAAATCATCACAAATATTTGAAAACTTTATAGAATCATAAGTTTTGAAAGAAAATTATCCAGACTAGCATCAGACTATCATCATTTGAAAATAATTTTCATATATTTAATTGAAGTTTTAAATCTTTATTATGTTCTCCTTTCATTTCCCAGGCCCTGAGCATCAATAAAGTTGCTTTAGCAGCTCATCTCGCTGTCGGTAAGTGTTCTCATTGAAAACTCTTTCGCATCTTATTGCAAGCGGAAGCACTCAATTTGTAATTTTATCTTTATAAGTTTGAAGAATCCGATTGTTTATATCCTAATAGCTTTTCATCAGTCGTTGCACTTCATATTCCTTCAATATCTTCTTAAATGTTGAAAGTTGATCTTGACAATTGCTTAGAAGTACGTACTGAATGAGAATCTGGATTTTTCTTTCTACTTAATAGTTGTCGATTCAGCTTGTGTTATTTTTATGTTTTCAATATCTTTGACATGTGATTTAATATCATATTGAAATAATTTTCCTTGTTAGTAGGAATTACAAGCTGCGCTTCACTGCATTTGAAAAGTTTTCAATTGCACTTTTGAAATCAACATTGAAGTTCTTTTCTTGAAACGAATCCATGCCCAACTCTAACTGATGTCACGACACATGTAAAAAGAAAGTTGGAAATTGCTAAGTAAACCGACATATTGTGTGAAAATTTTCTTCTTTTTTTCTGTCCTAAGAATAATCGGGAAAAGTTTTCGTTCTTCAAACTTCAACTTTGTTCTGTTTGTTTCGTTTAATGATGATAAAAATGTCGATTTTATCATTTATTTCGACTTTCTGATGATATTTTCTTCTCTTTTGCTGTATAATGTGAGAATATGTGAAGAAGATAAGAATATCATTGGAACAGTAAGGCTTAATATGCCAAATCAAACAATCGAACTTCTTCCTTCTCTTTCACGAAGCTTTTTTTTTGGCGAAGAAGTTTGAAAACGATGGGAATCTCACTCGAGACTCGCTTCTCTCCTTTTTTGTTTTAATAAACCAGTCATACATAATCGATAATGCTATCAACATTCAATAGTATAAATTGGATAACGTTTGAATACGCTTTTTTCTTTCTTTGTTATGACATTGCAAAAGCAGTTTTAGGGGAGGGCGATGGGGAAATCGAACGAAGAGAAAAACAATTTGTGCTCGAATATTGATAATGTTTGATTTGATTGAGGTGGATAAAAGAAAAGCGAATGAATTTTTTCTTGTTCTTTTTATTTCGATTTTTGACTCGACTGAGACCGAAAGCAGCTTGAAGATGATCGAACATAAATGCAAACGATGAAGATGAAGATAGTCAAATCCTAGAAATTAGTTCGTCATGAATTCAAATCAGGCAAAAGAAATGTGTTATTTTTAGGATGTTCGAACGTGTTGGGGATCTGCGTCGATTTCTCTTCTTTACATTTTTTTTTGCTTCATCTTTCCAAGGCTTAAAATCCCCTCGTTCAAATTATGCAAATTGAACAGAATTTTTTTGTTTGTGTATAAATATTATAAGATGAGCGGGTTGTAGAGAATCTACTTCTGATTGCAGATATGATATCCTCGTCTCGAACCGCAAAATCCTCGAGGACTTGAACATATATACAAAGATTATTGATTTCATTGCTTTTTAGGATTACGGCGACTTTTTCTTTCCTTTTCATTATTTACTTAAACAGATAAAAACACAAATACTGAAACCGTATTGCGCGAGGCTACAGTTAAGATTCATGCCAAGTACGACTTCTTCGAAACAACATTGCAAATCGAAATTTACGATGACGATATGGATGAATGCAAAGATTGTACAAATCCATAATGGTAAAACTATTCAAATTCTTCTTGTTCTTCTCTTTTGTGAGTATGAAAATGAAATTTCTTTGTTCTTATTTATTATTTATTTGATATTTGTTTTTAACATAGAATGTTCTTCAAGACAGCGTTTCATCAAGTCAAATAATCAAAATTGATATTGAAATTTAGTCCCTTTAGTCTTGTATTAAACGGACTAAAATGATTTCCCAATACGATCATCTATCCAGATATATCGACATTATTTACATTTCAACAAAATATTTCAAATTCTCTTTCAACTCTTTATGTGAAAGGGATGAAAAGAACTCATTATTGAAATGGAAAGCAAATAAACAAAATTTCAAATATGTAGAGTTCTAATAATAAATTTTAAATTTTCTGTTTTTTTTCTATAAATAATTGCATGAGTTTGATAAAGCTTTTGAATAAAATTTAAGTTTTATATTATGATGAATTAATCTATAACATTAATTAATTTTTAATTAACAAGCAAAGATACTTAACTATCTTGGAACATCTTCAAGTGTAATGAAACTTTGGAATTGAGAAAGTGAAGTTCGACATATCAGAAGAATTCATCGTGTTTAGGCATAAATCTCAAGTCTATTGAAAATAATGTTTTCACCTTAAGAAATCGAACATTATTTAACGGCCTTTGATAACAACTTCTGCTTATGTAAATTTCCTAAGTTTCATCTTACTAATTAGTCTTTTTTCGGTAATTCCCTTCGAATTTTGTATTGATTCATTTATTAAATATTAATGATAACCTTCAGACTGAAAATGTATACAATAAATAGATATTTTAAAAAGTACCAATCTCTCATATTTTAAAAATAAACAAAATTGAGTGAATAGCATTTCTTCAATTAGATAAAAGTTTCATCGAGTTAATTAAAAACATGTCATCTTGAAAATGGATATTCACTTGAGTAGTTTCTACAGAAATGAAGGAAGACAATAGAAGTCGAGTATCTGGATGTTTTATTCTTGAAGATTTTTAATTAAATTGCTGACATGTCTGGCAGGTCATATAAGAAAATTATTTTTGTTAGTGAGAAGTCACAATTGACTCTTATGTTTCAAAGGAAGAATGATGTGACTTTTTTTTCGAATTCAGTTCTCATACATGTATCCACGTTTACCAGAAGGTAATATATACTCGGCTAAAGTTTTGAAGTATCATGCACAAGTTTCTCTGACACTTCCCTCTCAAAGGTGCAAAGCAGCAGTTTCACCTTATTACATTCCAATTCTTATGATGATAAACAGAAACTTTTTAGGGGAAAGAAGAAAAGAAGAAGAGAAAAGAAGAAGGAGGAAAGAAAAAAATAGTTAAATATCAACTTCCAACATCTATAAATTTTACACAAGAGGGAAAAAAGGAAAATTATAAATTTATTTGATTCCTACAAGTTTTCAGATTTTCCAGTTTCCGACCTCCTTGGAGATAAAAGAGCGACAAAGTTTCATTCCACTTTATATGTACTTATACATTTATATACACTTTGAGATGAAGGAAACAAAGTTTTCCGTTTTCTAGCGATTGCTACTTTCTAGTAGATAAATCCGAAATCAGCGAAATAAAAGAGAATTCATCGAATCTGCTTTTGGGATTTTAGAAGAGATCTTTTTATTTGGAATAAGTTTCAACATCATCGGCAAGTATTCGATTGTGAATTTGTGAAAAAAAAAATGATGTTTCTTTTTTAAATTTATCGAATTGGTAAAATGCATTACAAATTGAGCTTAATCTAACAACTATGAAGTAACTTCTACAAAAAGAATGAAAAAAAATCTGAAACCAATAGCAGCAGAAACTTTAGACAATTTGACTAAATTCTCTTTTATACTTTCTTTTCCACCCCCACATTTAAAATCGACATAAAAGCAAATCTCGAAACATTCAATTTAATCTTATCTCAAGCGAGTTTCTGTATCACATTTTTTATTCTCCTTCATTGCACAAGCACACTTCAAACGAACTCAAAGAAAAGTAATGTTCACTTTACTCTGCAAAAGTTCGTGAACTTTACCAAAGAAGAAATGAAATAAAAGTTCAACTGACACTTAAATAAAACGAAATCACAGACGTTTTTAATGACTTCACATTCAACTGTAGTTAAATTTTTTTCGCGTTTGATTTATTTGCATTCAACCTCACAAATGAAACAATAAAAACTATTCAGTTTTGATTGATGAAAATTACGGTTCTTAATCACACGAAGGAAAAGTTTTTTGTATAATTATCTCGTTCTTTGAACCATAAAAACCACCGTCAAAGCTGTTTATAAAAATTTATTATTCATTGATTTTCTAACATCAGCTCTCTATTAACACAAACAGAAAATATAAAAATATATATTGGAAAAGTTTTTCCTAGATATTTTCGTAAATTTCAAAATTTTTGTTGAAGTTAGAGCTCGAGCAAGAGGCGTTTCTCATGAACATATTCTCATGTAATATTTAATTTATTTTTATAAAAGCTTTCTTTTTCATATCATACTTATTGAGCTTTTTTTCATGCACGATCTGAATATTTTTTCTGACCTTCGAAGGTTCCAAGAACACAACTTATGAATTATTTAAATAATTTAAGAGTCCAATGAACGATTGTCGAGTCAGAAGCAAGAACATTTTCCCAAACTTTTATTTACACAAACATTGAATTAAACTTTTTTACGTTATATGAATGAAGTTCGAAAGTTGTTGTTAATAATGCACAATTATTTTTTCTTACTAAGCAAATGAAAACAAAAACAAAATAGATTGAAAAAGTTTTTCTCTCCTATGACGTTTATTAATATAAGTACGGGCAGACTGATAACATCTATATAAAAGTTTTCCAGTGCTTCAAGCTTCTTGATATATTTTTAATGAGTGTGATAGCTTCGTAAAATATAGCGGAGAATTGGTAGAACATCTACGATCATGAACTTGGAACCTCATCTGTTGAAACTTGATCTGAACACGAAAAACAGAAGAGGCGTTTACCCTCCAACTGAAAGATTCATCACACGACACAAATTCATGTCTCAAGCTGAAAGCCGAGTCGTGTTCATCGGTAAACTGCTCATAAATCTAAAAAGGCTCCTTGAGTTTCAATGTTTTATGGACAGGTGTTTCATTGCTCAACATCTATTAGGATCTTTTTCACCCTCCGTACATGACTCGCTGAATGACTACGAGTGTGAGCTTCAATTTTTTATTTTATCCTACTCAACTCAAGATTACGTTCATATACATACTTTTCTTTGAAAGCATTGCTGTGTCTGGCATGCGAATGTTATTCCATTATGAGAGAAAAACAAGACTGAAGCAAATGGATCAATTAATGAAATATAAACACACACACACACTCTTCATTCAAAAATTTATATTCATTTGGAAGGAGTTTGTATCTAAGATGTTTTTGCTAGAAAATGTGAAAAAGGGTTATCCTTATTTAAAATTTATTGCTCTTCCCTTCTGAAAGTGAACAAGTGGTTAGACAACAACATTTGACAGATATCCTGCTTTCCTTTCTCATCTTAACAAGTTATATATGTTATCATCTTTAATTGGAAATTAACACAAAAAGTAGGTTGTGGCAGTTATTAGCTCGTGTTGTCGAATTGTCAAAACAAGATGAAGATTTATTAACATACAATTCACTTTACCACCCATCCACCTGCCTAACAGTGGTGATTTTTCCACACTTTTCGCCTGTTCAATGGAGTGGAACAAAAGTTCTTAAGGTTTTTATGGTTCATGAAAGGCAGAGATTTTCATCTTCGTGTTTTAACGATTCTTCTTCAATATTTTTCTGTCTTTCCCTTCTTCAGTTTTAAATGAAGAAAGATATCAAATCCTTCCTTTTCTCATTGACTTGATTACTAAACATTCATATAACTTTGACTTTTAAAGATTTTTTTATGAGAGAAAGACCTTCGGGGGTAATCTTGTTAATCCATTTACAATGTAACCAAATATCTTTCGAATTCAAATAAAATTAAAATAGAAGTTTAGTGCCTCAAGTTCTAAAAAGAAAGGAATTGAAAAGATGTTCTGAAGCGCATCAATTCTTATAATAGAAAATGTCAAAATGATGAAATAATTTATCTCATTTATTAATTTGTGTCTTTATTGTGTTTGTGTTATGCTTGAGATTACTTTGAATCACATCAATTCTCTTTGTGAGCATCAAAGAATAATAATCATATTATTCATCACAAGCATCATGCAATTCCTTTTGATTTTGTTGTTTATGTCAAGTTTAACTAATCTTATTTTTTTGTTAGAAAAATACTTCAGAGAATTCATTTTTTAATATCAATTTACATGGATTCTATTCCAGAAATATCTTTATTTATTATAAAACGTACGTAGGAGATATTTTTCCTTATGCTTCCTTCTTAAATATGTCCTTAAAAAGGTAGATAAAGATAATGTAAAGAACGAATGGATACAAGGATGGAATCTCAATGAATGATAATCACATTCAATTCATCTAATCTGTCGAGAAGAGAAAAGCAATGTACACAAACTATACATATCCTTGTTCAAATATTTTTGTACACGATATGAATCACGATGTGTATCTGCGTAGGATGAAAGAAAAGAAGAAAAGTTCTTTTTCACAGACACCGTAGCAGTGAAATTTTACATACTTGAAGCGTTTAAAGCTATACAAGTAAATGTATAGAAAGCGAAGAGTTGTTTTTGTTCCATTTAATCTCAATAACTCGTTGAAATTATTATGAAAATATTTAAATTAAATCATAAATTTACACATCGCTTTTAGGCAGCTGCTTATGTTAAATTTTCTACAACATATAAATTTTCTTTAACAACAACTCTGTTGGGTTATGAATATGTTTTCGGCGGAAGAACTGCCACTTTATTTACATCTTGATTGAAAATTTTCCAAAATGAGAAATCGCAGAGACTGAATATGAGCATGAATTCTAATTTATGACATCACCGACTTTAAATATGTTTGCAGCGTGAATTGCGTTATGAAAACAAGACTTTGGTAATATCTTCTTTTTCTCACCAAATATTTCTCAAGTTCCGTTAAGTTTTTGTACGATTCCTCCATTTTCCTCTTATATATTGTGCTATGAGAAAAGTCCAAAGAAAAAAAAAGACGAGAAGCATAAAACATATGTAATGTTCGAACGTATATAGCAAGCTGAACTTTTTATGTTGCAATGTATTATATTCTACGAGCGATTGTGTGATTTATTGAATTCCATTCAACCCCATCCATTCCCTCGTTCTTTACGCCTTGTGGTTTTCCATGCCCAAATTTAGCCCCGAACGAAAATGATTTACAGAATCCTTATACTTTGCCACAAGAACGATGAGGATGAGAGTGAAAGAGCTGTAACAATTCGCCGGCCTGTTAACGATAGAAGAATTTCTCTTCACTTCCTTCGTTGTTTGGAAATACATTTTTAATCTGTGCTTCATTAATTTTAATATCCTTACCTCTCCACAGGTAAATTTATTGTTCGTTGAGGAAATGGCAGCATAATAAAAGAAGAAGCCTTTTTGTGCGCTTTAAACTTTCGAGATATGGGAGCAAAAGAGCTTGTGAACAAGGAAACTACTTCTTTCGCACAGAAATTTAATAAAATATGTTGGAGCAAACAAAATTTTATGTCATAAATTCTATTTTGTTGCTAACAATATGTAGATAGATTCATGGAAAAAAAAAGAAAGAAAATTATGGAATGACCTTGATTTGTGTCTTAATTTTTCTAATTATAATGACCCACTCGAAAGCAAAAGGTGAACAAAACTTGAAGGAATGGAAAAATAAAACATGATTCCTATTGTTTATGTTTCTCATGAAAATAAATTTTCTCACAAAAGGATTTTCCTTTGAGAGAGAATTTTTCACCACAATACGCAAACTCACCACTTCGATTGCGCTTCACCACTTTGATTTCCTAGCAGCGCTTTTAGCGTGGGAAAATCATTGACTGAAAAGGACTTTCACAGACGACTCATGCCTTAGTTTCTGTTGCAAATGGGTTCGATGAAGACGTGATCGGAGAGATTTTTCGTGCTATAAAAATCATATGTATAAGCCTACAATATAACATGTACATTGAAAATTATATCTAAACGGATTAAAGTCCCTCATTGAAACAAGTAAAAAGAGAATAAAGAATGATCAAAAACGGGAAAAAGAAAATGTGAAAAATTCATATGTAATTAAAACCGAAGAAACGTGTTCAAACATCAGTGAATGAACCTTGAAGAAAATCATGAAATTATAAGTAAAAAAAAGTTGTTCATGTAAATAAATAAATAAATAAATGGGAAATATTCATAAGAGGAAAAGAAAAGAAAAAGTGAAAGAAAATTCATGCACGACAAGTTCTAAGAGAAATTAAATTTAAATATAAAAATTATTCAGCATTGGAATACTTGAGAAGGGAAAAGTCGATTTTCACAAATAAAGGAGAATAAATATTATGTTGAAGCGAAGTAAAAGAATGTTAAATTTAACGACACTGCTTGTGTATTCTGACAAAGTGAAAGGAAAATAAATCAAAAAAGAAGCAAAAAAAGAAAAGCCAGAATAAAAAGCATAAAGAAAATATTCAAATTATGGAATTTGTGCGGTTATTTTTGGCTCATACTTAAATGAATAAGAAGCTTTCACCTCTTCGTGGCTGAGAAACCTTTTGAAAATAAAAAAAAACTACGCAAACACCCAAACATGAGCGTGGAAAACTGTGAAAAATAGAGAAAATTAATGTCAAAGTTGTGGCACAAAAAGGAAGGCCGCACGACGTTACAAAACGAAGAAAAAAAGTTTTTTTGTTCAATGTTCTGAAGCGGATGAAATTAAAGTGAGAAATCCTTTTTTTATTACGAGTCAAATATGGAAAGGAAATAGCTGGCAACAACAAACTTCTCGTCGTTCATTGAGTAATAAAAAGTTACTGGGAAAACTTGTTCATTTGGCTTTTGACGACTTTGTTTCTTTTAGTTAGTGTCTATTGAGAGAAGATTACGGCATCAAATATTGACTGATTTATGTTCTTGTTCTAGGAAAGGTTTCAATACCGAACGACTTTGTTGTCGGTAAATTAAATTTTTTACAAAGTGTCACTAGAAAATCCCGCCTACATATAAAAAAGAAATAAATTAAGTCATTAACATTGTATTTTATCTTTGATTGATGAAAAGGAAGAATCAGAAACCCAAATTTGATGTTACAATTTTCCGATTGAAATCGGTTGCTGCAACTGAACTCAGCAGTTTTATTTATTATCTTCAAGCATTGTTGAAATAATTGCAAACGTAATAAAAAAAATCTTTTGTGACATTTTAATTGAACTGAATGAAAGATAAAAAACTCTCATTACGAGTTTAGATTGCCGCATTCTTCATGATAGCAGCTTTCTAATAAATATTCAGCCTTCAAATGCTTTTTCAATTATATTTCCTTCATGCTTGCGCGACAAGCGTGAAATTTCATTTACATCAATCATAAAAAAATCCCTGAACTCGAGACTGAAATTATATTTTTAAGCGGTTGCTTCATGTCCCTAGATTATATGACGTTGGTGCTTCATTTAATGTTGAAAGCGTTTGAATTTCTTTTAATGTTTTTGCATTTAAATTCATAATTTTTATTTCAGACAATATCAGTGAGTGTTGGATATGTTGATATTTACATATACCGAGCAAAGAACCAACATACATGATAATTATTTTCCCAATTAAAAATGTGAGAGTCAAATAAATTTATCATAAATCTCAACAATTCTTTATTTCATTTTTTTTCATTCGAATTAAAATAAAACTCGTTTTTTAAAATTATTATTATCGCATGGAAAACTTTTTAATGATATGCCACAGCATGCTTTTATGTAGGAGACACTCCGAATCTGTCCCAATTATGGTATGAGCAGCATTTTAATTCTCTAACTAATTTGGAAAAAGAACTGATATAAAATTTCTGCAGCATTGTTCTCATGAATGATAGCAAACGTACAACATTACTGCAATTAAATTCCATATATTCCAATTGTCAGAGCTAAAGAGAAGAAACAATAGAAGCGGAATGTCAAGCATGTTTCTGTAATTAGTTGAGTTGAAGCTACTAATATTGTATTTCGTATGACGCTCCAATTGTCATTTTGCTGTTACGTGTGCAAATATAGAGTTGTTCTGCATATATTTAACTAAATATCTATATATATATATATA